TTCAACGGCGTGTCAGTATCAGTGTCGGCAGCAAGCTGCAGGCGTGACTTGCAGCGCTCAGATTTACACAGAGCAAGTTGTGAGCGCATTTTATGGCCACATCGGTGCAAATCGTAGTCTTGATCAATTAAATGGTTAATCGTACACCCTACTGGGTTGCTTTTGTCGATACTGTGTGGTGGTAGAGCTGACGGATATCTTTCTAGAGCGTCTGGTTCTGTAGAACGCCAAATAGTAGTCCAGGGTCGCCGCGGGCGAGATGCAGAGCCGTCCTCCACGTCGGACTCCGATGAATCTAGCTGTAATGCCCCATCTAAAAGATCATCGTTCTCACTCTCCATTTCTTTGTCTCCACGTAATTCTAAATGAGCGACAGTGCGATGAGCGTGTAAAACTATCTATTTCTGTATCTACAACACTTGGCAGTGATCATGCTATTTTGGTGGTCGTTCATTTTAAGGTGGTGGTGGTGACCGTTTTCTGTGTGTGTGGTCCCGTCCATATTTTGGGTGGATCTACACTTTTTTATTATTGCAGTACACATAATTTAAAGTGGTAATAACCCGGACTCCTGCTAAGATAATGGATGGATGGTAAGTTACTTTTTGCTACGGTTTTTCATAACGCTTTCTAATGTATAGTTTAGAACGACCGTGGCTGTAGAATATGGATGGAAAAGATTTGGGCGCCATACGTTGCGAACAATACAACCTCGCTGTTGTTGCTAGACGAATTCAAGAGTTATACACAGCCGGTATTTGGCAGACAGCTGAGTGATTTTAGTCCCAGCTTGGTCTAGATGGTGACACCAAAAATGGATCAAGGGCTCGGTCTCCGCACAGCAACAGAGGAGGCGCTACGGAAATTGTAGGCGGTGAAGGCGGTAGGAGGGCGATCTTGGTGGTGTCGATGTAGGTGGCAGGGCCATTCAGAGGCCCCAGTCCGCCTCCTACATAATGTACGCAGCTCTTGACTCCTCTTGACCTAGATTAGAATTTGTAAAGTGATTTGCGTACTTAACATTAAAATTGGGATTAACCCTTTTAATCAGAGTGCTTGGTCGCATGGGTTGGTGAGACGTAATTTGGGTCTGACCAACGTTTGGTACCAGTTTAGTACCACCAGATGGGAGAGGTTTGGTCCACGTGCTTGGGCGATTTTTGAAGTCATTCGATGAAAACTTCCAAAAATCGATGAAAGACTTTCGAATGGCACGTCAGAAAAAGGTTCGGAAATTGCAACTTACTTCCAAACGCAATCTCTATCTCAGAAATTATCAAGAAGGATTGCTATATGTTTTTGAGGACATCCATTTACGTTGATGCCAACGAAAGCTTTTTTTCTGGGATAAATACTTTTCTGTCACGTTTGGATGAGAAGCACATACTCGTCTTGTCGTCTTGCAGTTCTAGCAAATTCGCGACGCTTCGACCGGATGGTGGTCGGTAGTCTCATAGTCAACTCCAATGGCCATGACGTTTGCACAGCAGGCTATAAATGTTTGGTCGGGATGACTCCGAGTAGCTCGCGGTGGTGTCGAAGCAACTTCCACAACGTTCTTCTTGAACTCTTCCTTGCTCACGGGTAACCTGAACGTTTCCAGCCTAACCATTGGGACGACAAAACACAGTTCAACCACAGCAACTTGGTCCAGATCGAGACTGCTCAGCAGATCGATGAAGTATTTATCATCGAACGTATGGCACTCAGCACGCGTCACTTGAACAAACCGGACCAGTTGTATTGCTTTGTCGATAAAAACAGCGTCGTATCCGCCTTGGCTCCACTGGACTGGAGCCACCCACTGTGGAACATCCAATGAAACACCAATCGGGTACTTGTCTGGATCAAAAAAGACGATGCTTGATCTCTCCCACTTGCGACGTTGTAATGTTGAGTCCACATACACGCTCCATGGCAGTCCATTATGGCTAAGCTGCGCAAAGAACCAAGCTTTGTGAGTAAATCCATCCGTGGATGGATTCACACTGCAAGCTCTCGCGAAGTTCTGGATTAGACGCGGACCCATGAGTGTTGCAAAATGACGCACGACGTACTCGCTCACCAATCGAACGTCGTAATCATGGGGACTGTTATACCGTGCAAGTAAATATTTGACAGTACCAGATGACGAATCACCAACAAAGCCTTGAAGGTAAGGTTCAATGTTTGATGCTTCCTCGAGTGCTTTGTTGAGTGCTTCAATCGCCGTCGCTGTCGTAACTTCAAACATTAGTCTTGCATTTCCACCCGCCACAAAGTACTTCTCTTGCAACAGCTTTGTTCGCTCCGCTGCTTCCTTTTTTGGATCATTTTGTGCTCGATATTGTGGAAACATGGTCACTACGTTGCGGAAAAAGTCGTCGTTAAGGACTGCCTTTTTGTAATCCTCAAAGCACCACGACGCCAGCTCAAAAATCATCTGTGTATGTACTGGATAAAGCGAACTACTCACTGTCTGCGCTACGTGATGCAATTCTCCGGTCGACATCTCGACATCCTCCATCTCAGAGTCCTGGAGCTGCTCATCCACGTTCGCTGGAATCCGCTTGTAAAGTTCTGGACGATATTCTTTTCCGACCGTAATCATCGAGCAAACACACACTAGTCGATGATTGAGTTTGTCTTGTTGATGCCAACGTAGGCATTTGAGATGAGCTGTCTGTCCAGCTGCTGATGACTCGACGTACCCATCCAGAAATACAATCGTTTTTCTTGCCTGCGACGTCGTATTCAAGATTGCTGCCAGATCGCGCTCTATCGCCTCCTCCTCCACAACACAAACCGCTTTCTTGTTACCCTGAAGCCAAACACAATTGAAATGTTTGTCATCTCGCGAGTGATGAAGCCATATTACGTCCCAATGCAATCGATTAAGTGACCAAGCAAAGGCGAGAGCTGCGCACGTCTTCCCCGTTCCTGGTGGGCCGACAACCCAAAGACGGGCATACGTTTGTATTGAACACCTTCTCATCTCATTCCATTGCTTCACCAGAGGTAACCGACGATATAGGACCAGCGCCTGATCAGGAAGACCAATTCCGGTACCAGCGATGCACGATATTGGCAATTTAATAAGTCGATCGTCATTTTTAACAACGAGTCGAGGGCACGGTTCAGGTGCGATGTTCCAGTCGACTTGCGGGACATCGATGATAATATCTGCTGGACGCTGCTTCGGCACTCGCACGATGAGGGCATCTTTCTTTGTACTACCAAACGAGCCAATCGGCGAATCCACTTCCAATGCCACCCCGTTCGCGAAGACTTTGAGGTCCGATGGAGCGATCCCGACGAGATGGCTGTCTCTGAACTTTTCCTTCACGGCTTTTTGGACTCGAAATCCCTTGGCGTTATCAATGCAATCAACGCAGTCGGCTGAAGTCGCAGCGGTTCCGTCTTCGCTCATGAGCTGGAACCACACTTCGCGCGCCATCACTTCTTTTCGACCTAGCAAATTCGATAATAACGAGATCAATCACAAAACATCAGTTTTTATGCGAGTTCCATGTACTTAGTAGAGATGCAGTGATGCAGACGAGGAATACTAGTAAGTACACCCTCAATACCAATGAATATGCACAAGTTATTTTCCCCTCTCACCCCTCAGTTGTAAGAACGAAATACAATATCGCGCAAATATCCCTATTGGTCTCAATTGTACGTAAGACGAACACAGAATAGCATGTAGCGGTAATTTATACTTTCACGAACGTTTCTGGACTGATTTTCTCATACAATAATAATTATACCCATCGACGACATCCAGTAGCATCCCCACGAACGAGAATTTCTAAAAACTTAGCCTTCTAGTCTTAACAATTCGTTCAAAAGATCAAATGTGGTGTCCGCTACGATGACGAGCAAACGCGAGCAAATAGACCAGGCTACCGGCAGTTATGCGGTATGTATAACCAATTTGAAGTGGATGGTGATTTAATAGTAAACTATGAGTCATTTTTATGCTACATCCCGCGATAGGAATCCCTTTACAAAGGAAAAAAATGTCACTGAGGGGGTTGTCTGTATCTTTCCACGATACTAACCGAAAAGAATGCGTCACTCTATTTGTACGAGTGCATGCACACCCTCTTTTCAACAGATTGGTACTTTTGGAGTCTTGTCGTTCTTAAATTATCTAAGCTAAATTGTCTCTGTGACCTATTTGTCCTTAAAAGGTTAAAGTGTCAGTTTAGTATGAGTGCTTTCACTAAATCTGCGATATCTCTATTAGTCCAATTGACAAAAATGAGGTAGCGTTGAAAATAGGAGTAACAGCCCGAGTTCTTAGTTTTTTTTTTAACAAATGAGCTTCAACAGGTGTAGCGTGTGAATGGAGCATTTTTGTGATTTTGCAAAATCGTGCCGATTCGGACAGCGCCGTACATACTGCGTGCCTTGAATACTTATTGCCGCGTCTCCTCGTCCCACGTTTGCCTTTCGCCAATTCAGCTCGCAGCTCCGATAGAACTCAACATGTTAACAGCGGTCACACTCGCTGTACTGTCGATTGGCTGTGCCTACTTATGCCAATGCCACATTGTGCTGCAATGTTAGTTTCAGACTTGATCACAAGAAGATAATCTCATAACGGCATGGTGCCAATTGGTAAGGGTCGCCATGCGAGTAGTCGCAGTCGAAACGACCGTAGAGTAGCTGAAGAGAGCTACTTTCTAATACACACTATCACTTTTGCATTTTAAGAGCACAAAAGACCACAAAGCATACTTTGGTTGCGAGCAGTTCGCAATCGATAGTCAAGTAGACCAAGAATGTCACGCTTCGGGCTGGGCAGCGATGGCGATGCGGAGATGACGGTTCCGCAGTCAGTCTACGAATACGTCGGGCCTCCCAAGCTGGCGGAGTGGGACCAAGCTTCGCTAGTGAAGTGGCGGAAGGCCCGAGCTCAGTATGAGGAGAATATCCGAGAACGGTGTGAGTGGACGGGTGAAGACTACAAGGCCGTCGTACGAAGTGTCCGTAGTGCGGTTGACCCAGATATGATGGCCTTTTTGGCCACGTATGAGATCGAAAAGGACAAGGATCGCATCACGGACGAAGATATCATGGCGAAGGTCAAGGCTAGATGCGAGACGACTAATCGAGACTTTCTCGCCAATCCGGCAGCGCTGTTCACTCAGCAGTTAAAAATGGACTTATCGATCAAGGATGTTCCCGACAGAGTGTCAAAGTATTTTCGGCAGTTCGAGCAGATCATTGCTGATAACGGCTTTTATGAGAATCTAGGCCGAGGTGCGGCTACAGACGATGACTATGTGGCGAGGATGAAACAAAAAACCAAGATCTTGGTTGACAACCTGTAGCCACCGATGCTGCGGGACGAGGTCAATGGAATGCTTGAGCTGGTTAAGTTCCGTCACATCCGGATAAACGACCAGCTATTGTACAAGCTAATCTTAGAGCGAGCAGAGCTACAGCAGCTATTCTATAACCGGTTTCGTCAAACAGATACTGCTCAAGGAGTTACTAAGATGGGCAACCGCAAAAGTAGCAAGCCATCGTCAGCGACCGGCCATACCCGGCGTGACAATAGCCACCAGAACCCAAAGGAGGGAGGGAAGGCTCCTGCAGATATGGACAGAAAGATCCCACCTCGACTTCAGCACAACAGTACGCTACAAGGAAGTCCACCACCTCGAGCTGGCTGTCTGCACTACAAAGGCGATCACGGGTTACGTGATTGCACCATTGCAACATCAGAAGAGAAAGCTGAAGCTCATGCTACACATAAAGCAAAGAGTTGGAAGGTAAAACGGGCGATGGTTGGTAAGCTTGATGAAAAGGGTGACGACACTGCAAAACCAATGTCGTCGGGCAAAGGAGTCGAAGACGAAGAATATACAGTCCTAATTAATGGTGCTGTGGAGATATCGGTGTGTCCTGATACAGGAGCAGACAAGTGTATACTTCCAGCCACAGCAGTGATGCAAGTCCGGGAAATGGGGCGTACCCTCGAGACCAAAAGACTTGCCCAACCAGAGCCTGTGGAAGGAGTTGGGGGGAAGATAACGCTATGTCATGAGACAGCGCAAATTGATGTGCAAATTCGAACGTCCGCGGGGCCAGTCAATCTCTACAAACTCGACTGTTTGATAGTTAATGGGGAACAGCAGTTCTTGCTCAGCAAAAGAGTGATGAAGCGCTTAGGCATCGATGTCAAGCGTGCATTTGAGCAATTAGCTAATAGTAGCATCGAGCTCAATCACGATGATCTACCAGATGAACCAGAAGATGAGGTGAAAACGGTCCTGGGTGATGGTCACTACCAGGCCTTCAGAGAAGACATAGTCAGTATGAGCAAGAAGTTTCTCATGTGGTGGAGAACGCGAATCGTACTGGACGAACTTTTTTTGGTGGAGCCACTGGTATTCACTTTGAAGACGGGAGAGGAGCCGGTACGCTGTAAACCTCGCCGATACCCACCTGCTCAACTTAAATTTCTTGATGAACACGTCTCTCAATTGCTAAAGTTTGGGTTTGTGAAGAAAACCAACCTTAGCAAGTGGGCATCAAACGCAGTCCCTGTTCAGAAGTCTGACTGTAAAGACGAATTCGGGGCTACCAACAATTACATCAGGGTGAACAACAAAACGGTGCCGATTGCTGTCACTTCTCGATCATCCTAAGGTCTGTGGCTGGAGTTAAGTTTATTGCGAAGTTCGACATGTTCAAGGGCTTCTGGCAAATATTGCTTGCAGAAGAATGCCAGAAAATGTTCAGCTTTATGACGCACGACGGCGTCTACACACCGTTGCGTGTACCCCAGGGAGCCACAGATTCTGCCCTGCACTTCCAGAACCAAATGCAAACAGTATACAAGCAGCTACTGTACAAGGGTGCCCTTATTTGGATAGACGACATAATAGTATACGGCAAAACTGAAGAGGGATTCTTAGCCAACCTCCGGATGCTCTACGAGTTAGCTGCCAAGCACCGGTTGAAGCTTAATGCCAAGAAAAGTGTCCTTATCGCCTTCGAGGTATCCTGGTGTGGACGAATCATTGACGGACAAGGTGTACGACAAGATCCCGAACGCTTGTCCGCTTTAGTTTCGCTACCACTACCGCAAGCAGCAGCGGATCCTCAACGCTTTCTGTGCGCGTGTAACTGGATCCCGGATAGTGTCGTTGATTTTGCCAGAGTATTTGAGCCGATGTAGTCAAAAGTGAATGAGGCGTTGATGAATCGTAGCCGAACGAAGCACTCTGCGGGAGCAGTTACGCTGTTATGGACAGACGTAGAGCGAACAGCATACTCACAAGCCCTCCAGAGTATTGCCAACTCGGCAAAACTGTATTTTCCGGAAGACCATGCGACTATTTGCCTACTCATAGACGCCAGTGACTCCGGATGGTCAATTATCTTGACACAAGTGCGGGACTGGCATATAGGAACTCCTGTTGCCCACGAGCTTTTGATTTGCCAAGGTGGGGCGTTCAGGGGAGCCCAAGTACACTGGTCTGTCATCGAAAAGGAGGCATATCCAATAGTTCGGGCCTGCATCTCGCTCGATTACATTTTGGAGAGAGAAGGGGGATTTAAAGCCTTTTGTGACCATTCAAACTTGATTTAGATATTTTCTCCATCCGAAGACGTCAAGAAGCACACACGAGGGAAATTGATCCGGTGGGCTTTGCGTATTTCGTGCATGAGGTACACGATAGAACATATAGATGGAGATCGCAATCTCTGGGGCGGAGATAGTATCGAGATGGACCGAATCCTTTACCAGCAACTATAGTAGTGAAGGCTGCTCAAGTGCATAGTCAAGCGCCTTGGTCTAGACTTCGCCCGCTACAGGACGACACGTTTGGATGGCCGACTCTAATAGCGATAAAAAAGCACAGAAAGCGGCGGGCAAACCAGGCACGGGGCTCGAACAGGATCCACGCGGGGTCTGGGTCGCCAAGGGCAAGATATGGCTACCAAGCGATGACAAGAATTTGATCCTGCGGGTAATGATTACAGCACATTGCGGGATACGAGCTCATCGCGGAGTGGATGTCATGTTCTAAATGCTAAGTGATGAATTCGTGATTGAGGATTTGCGGGTCCGTGTGGAAAGTTTCGTGGCAAAGTGCCTGCTGTGTAAGCACGTCAAAGGTGGAATGCTAATACAGCGTCCATGGAGCAGTACTCACGCAGCTACAAGACGCAATGAACTATTACAAATGGACTTCATGTTCATGGGAGACAGCTACGGTGACTCACAATACCTTCTCGTACTTAAAGATGATTTATCTCATTATTGCGAGCTGGTAGCATGCTCGTCAGCAAACGGATTGGTGGCAGCGTCTGCAGTCTTAGACTGGTATAAGAGGGTTGGTTACCCGAGACGTGGGTCTCAGATAACGGCTCCCACTTCCGGAACACGCTAAAAATGGACGATTTGAAGAACAGATTGGGTGCACAGCAGCGCTTTGTGCCAGTTTATACACCTTGGCTGCAGAACGGGTGAATCGGGGCATATTACACGTGGTTCGAGTCTTACTGCTAGAATTTCAACTAGATTCGCGAAATTGGGAGTATCTGTTGCCTGTAGTCCAGTCAAATTTGAGCCAAACCCCGGTACGCTCGCTAACGGGGACATCCCCTATGGAGGTTTTCACCGGACTTGATCGGGACCCAATTGTGAATGTGATATTGAAGCCCAAATCACGCACTGGAGCTTATGAAGTAGTGCGGGGAGATATAAGGCAGTACAACGCTCAATTGAAGACGCTGAGAGCAAGCCTACAAGAGCTGCATGCGGACGTCGCTGACAGGAAAGAGCGTCGACGCCTACAGCAGCAAGCAGCCAAGAAGGGACGAGAAGGCACATTTTCTATCGATGATTTTGTGCTATGGTCAAGGGCCGACCCGCGAATGTCGGGGCAGAAGCTGATGGTTCACTGGGTGGGTCCATTTCGGGTTATTGAGGAACTCCCATCTAGTTTTCAGATTGAACACTTGCTGACGGGTGACACATTCGACGTACACGCTATACGACACAAGCATTATGCAGACAATATGTTGGAAGTCACCGAAGAGCTGAAGCATCATCTTGAGGCTATTGTCCGTGCACCCATCAACGTATGATGTTACCATGTTCGGCACAGCCTGATAGATGCCGTCAAAAGCCTCCCATGAGTCTTCTGCGTCTTCCAATCTCTGCCAACTCACCAATAGTTGCCATTCTCTGGATCTGCGTTTATATCTTCCATTGGATACTGCTCGAACACCCAGTTTAATACCTTGCAAAGCAATGATCATTTGAAGAGCTTGCAGCAGGACCGTGAGATGTCATCAAGTCTTTGGGGGCCTAGTTTCAGACTTGGTCACAAGAAGAAGATCTCATAACGGCATGGTGCCTATTGGTAAGGGTCGCTATGCGAGTAGTTGCAGTCGAAACGACCGTAGAGTAGCTGAAGAGAGCTAGCTACTTTCTAATACATTATCGATTTTGCATTTTAACAGCACAAAAGACCACACACATCGACATAAATTCAATTCTCCAATTTAATATCTGCTACTCACTTCACGCCGCGAAAATGCACTTTTGTCACTACCTGTTTCGCCCAGCGATTAGTTCTCGGTCCACTCTACCGTCACCAGGCATTGGGTATGATCAAGCGCCAACGGCTCGCTCTGATAATATCGACCACCGGTCAGCACGTACTGGCTCACGATACCGTGAAGACCAATCTAGAACCGACGGATCCTGCTTATTATCCGGCCTACAAGTCTCACTTCAAGCAAACTCGGACTACCACAAACAAGAACGGCGCCAATCAACAAGATCACAACCAAGGAGCAGACCAGTAACACATCACAAAAATGCATAAACGTGTGGCCTACTTGGCCTTTGAGACTCTTCGTACGGGCTTTGACATCGTATCGTATCGCTGCCCGGGCGGTGCCATGACCGGAAAAGACTGGGTCAACCGTTGCCTCTTTCTCGAGGCTGTGGCAGGTGTACCCGGCATAGTGGGCGGCATGCTGCGCCACCTACGGGGATAGAACGATCAAAAATGATTGATGTGGCCGAAGGAAAGAGAGATTTTCTAATAAACCTTAATAGCGTATGGACCTTAATATCTGAGTGAAATAGATATTCTAACTGAATGTTGCCTGTGTCGTCCGGATTGGGTTTTTACATAATGAAGGTGTCGGAGACATGGAATGACTGGTTTAGCGTCGGCAAGCGGGTGACATGCAGCAAGACAAGTCCTCGTGCGTATGTGGCGATCAGCCTCTAGGTCCGCTTCTTTAGCTTAGATGCACAGCTATTGGTTACAGAACTGGAATATGAGCTCGAAGGATCAAATATTAGGACTGACTTGCTGTGTGAGAACATGGGCAGCTGATATAATATTTAGCTAAGGGCACTGAGCTCGTGTGTTAGGAACAGGATTGTACAGTTATTCTCTCTCTTGTATTAAGGCTGTTTGTTTGTGCGGAAGTTCATTAAGCTACAAAACGGACGGCAGTTCAAATCGCGCTTGTACATTGCAGATGCTGCAGCTACGAAGCAGGCGCAGGAGATGCGTCGGTCACCGACCCCGACGGTCGGTTTCCATACAGGAAATTCCAACCTTCGATGCGCATGCTTGGATTTTGACAATTTCAGAGCTTCTTCGGGCGGAGCACGACTTTGTTTGTTAGCTGTAAGAAAAAGATGCAAATTTTGCACATTCTCTTTGGTCTGTTAAGAGCAAAAAGGAGAAGTAGGGGTAAGCAGTTATAATGTAAATTATCCTGGTATGGTACCACCTACTAAGGTCTTGACGTTTGTCAGAAGACTACTGAACAGAAAGAAGGAAAATATATCAGCTGGAAAAAGGAGAAAAGACAAGAGGCCCCAATGTCGCCTCACATCGATTTGCCTCCTACTTAGCATGCTATCGATCGGGTAGTTTACAGACAGCGCATTGTTTCTCCTCAAATTCTCCTTAGAAAGAATACCGGGTACATACATTGTCGCTGGATGATAACAATGCCACAATGAAGTTGTTTACGTACCTGCTTCATCAACACTTATGATTTCCAATTGCGTCCGGAGAGTGGAGTGGCACTCTTGCACGCACGATAGCGCAGACCCCAGTGGGGCCCCGGGCCCTCTCACACACACACACAACTTGTGTGACACAAGGGACTTTCGACTAGGAGTCCTTCACTTTACAAATCGATCCAGATCCTGAAGGGATGACGAACAGTGGAGACAAGATCCACTCGGAGGACTTCGTGCAGTTCATGAGCTTTGCTGGAGCCTTCATGCGCTCCATTGAGCACAAACGAGAAGACCGTATTCTCTGCGATCCGTTTGCAGAGCCCCTCACACGTCAGATCGCGCCACAGCTCGGACCTCGAATGAAAAAGTGGACCGAGAGCCTTCCGCAGCCAGAAAACTACTTCTCCATCCGAACGCGCTATCTGGACGAAGCGATTTCTCAACGAGCCGCTAGTATTCGTCAGGTTGTGCTCTTTCGAGCTGGCCTAGACACGAGGGCGTATCGATTGGAGTCTCTACGGAACTGTCGAGTGTTCGAAGTAGACCAAAATTTCGCATTATTTGAGCACAAAGTCAGCGTTCTAAACGTCACGAACGCCCCACTTATACCTGACCAACACGAGATTGTCGTGGCTGATGTAAACGACTTCAACTGGGAGGAAAGACTGCTATCTGCTGGTTTTGACTCAAACCTTCCTACGTTCTGGGCGCTGGAAGGCCAGACGATGTACTTGGACCGATCGAGTAATGTGGCGTTGCTCAAGACTATCGACGTTTTATCAGCTTCGGATAGTGAGATTTGGGGCGATATCGGAGGTCAAGCGCTGCAGGAAGGCGCAATTGCAGCGATTAAACAAGTGGACGAACTCAGCCAGACTGAGCTAGGCACTCATCTATTTAAACTGGGCGAAGACGACGCTATGCATGGCGTGTTCAGTCAGTTGCCGTGGGAACTTGAGCTGCAGGCAAATTTGGGTACGTCTGGGACCCATTTCAACCGAAAATGGGAACCCATTCCGTCAGTTTCAGACAGCCCCAGTACCGTTTTCGTTTGTTCATGGTCAAGAAAGAGCATTAAAAAGGGTTTGTATTTTCATAAAATTAGGCCTCCTATCTTTGAAAACTCCCCATTTTCTAGTACGTGACTGTTCGATGCAAGCGACTCTCTTTACATGTGACGCAGAGGCATCGACCGTCCACAATGGGGCAGCTCAATGCCTTCGTGTGGTACACTTCACCCTTGTGATAATGACAGAATTCGCGATCACAGAGACAGCAATAGTGCAGGATACGGCGGTCCAGCGTGGCCGTAAACGGCACCTTTTTCTTGTATCGCGGGTCGTGGCATACGTGGCATTGATTACGCAGCCCTCGCTTCTCGGCTGGGAGATGTCTTGGTCGTAACTTGCCCTTAAGTTCGGGAACTGGTACCATAAAAGTAGAGCGACTGGAACTCGTCACTAACCCGAACTGGTTTGTAGCTTGAACGACGAACTTGTACGTCTCTCCGTGATGCAATTTGTCCACAATCACCGTCGTAGGCAGCGGTAATGTAAGCAACTTGATCCACTTGACTTCTTCCGTCTTGGTACGTGTCCAACGCACTGTGTAGCATACAATAGGGACGCCATTATCCACAGGTTTCTCCCATGATACACGAGCTGCAGCGCTGTCCACACTTGTCTTGCTAGACTCCACTTCTACCGTCACACGACTAGGCATGTTTGGAGGTAATCGACGTAGTAATCGCAGCAGTGAGTCAGCGTCTCCGTAGATGATTCCTCGAATCGGTAACATTACTACTAAGAGGATAACGATAGCGTCGTCTAGCCACCAGAAGTAGAGTTTCAGCAGACCCCACATACTGATTCTATGGTCAAAATTATCTGCGTCGTCGTCTTCAGCGTCTTGAATGTCGTTCGAGTTCCACTTGCTTTTACTATACGAAGACGAGCGTGAGGACCGCGACTTCACTAGTTCTGACGACGCTATTGGGTCTTTACAGCGTACAATAACATGTGGGCTTCGTCCATACGAATTCCACGTTGTGAGGCGATACACTACATGCTGATGAGACTCGACGACGTCCAAGAACTCCGTGTCAGCCCCTGTATACACCGACGTCCACGTGGGTTCGCCAGGACTGCGACGTTGCAATTGATAGCGTTGCGGAGAGTTCTCCGCCGGCACCCAGGCGATCTGAAGTAGCACTTTATCCTGTACAGAAGAGCGTTCTGCGCACACACTCGACACAACTGCGCCCGGTTTTCGACCCATACCCAGGTATTTCATCTGTAAGAACATGGCTAATTGGTGTCGATGCAGTTCACTTTGGACGCCAAGTTCCTGCAATCTCGCTCCGTCATTGGCCATTAACAACGGGAAGGTATATCCAGAGATCGAGTGGGCTCGAAACACGTCACTATACTGAGGTAGTTGCACTGCATAGGCCACCCAGTCGGCTACTTCGGCCACAGTCATCTCAGCGCCCACACTCTCCCAACGTTCGTCCAGTTCTTTCCACGAGATGACGGCGTCGTTGTCACTGTCGAGTTTCTTGAGTGCAGCGTCGACATCTTGGTCGGTTTTGGCTCGACTTTTGAGCTCGGACAGGTCGAGCCCGCCGCTGTCGTCGGTGTCAAGAAGATGATGCAGTTTGTCCTTGATCTGCTGGATCTCGCGGCGTCCCACGTGTCCGTCGCGGTCGAAATCCGCCAGCAAGCTCTCTGTCGTAAACAGAGACGTAAGCACTTAACAAGCAACGGGGCAGAGGCTTTTAGTAGAAAGCTAAAAGCCAGATTTTAGTACTGCACGTACCAACTTCAGGTACTTGATGCGTTTTGTTGCGCTTACTGGGCTTCTTACGCGCCTCCTCAGCGTCGGTGGGTTCAGCCATGGCTACTGTCGTGTCTGGGGAGATAACAGCGTTAAAAACATTTATACATAACTGATAAATGAGTTTAGTACCTTTCGTACGTGGCGTGATGACTGCCTTCGCGGCCACTTCCGTTGCACATAGCTGAAGAACCAGCACTGCCACGACGACCACAGCCAGCAGCGATATCCGCTGGTACCTGGTACTTGTGGGAGCAATGGCGGCGGGGCGTGCGGGGCCGCAAAAATTGCGCAATGGTGGCCGCATCTTCACGTTGACCCTACAGCAATTAAATGAATGATGGGCTTATTGAATGTGTAAAAATGGCCCGACAAAAGTGGGGGTGATACTTATAGTATGTAAGGAGGTGAATTGCAACAAATTACGGCAGGCGGATCGCACATGTCACACTCATGTGGGTACAGACAGAAGAATTTTGCGTTGATCCAGTGACTATAGCTTGTAGGCTACGATACAATTTGTATTAAGCTTATTGTGAATTCCGACCAAATTTGCCGTTTTTAGTCCTATTCGTCAACTCTCTCGCATACAAATTTCCTGTTATCTAAAGGTCAAATGACATCACGTGTGTGTTAGCCCAGCCAAAATATATCTATCTGCTTACGAATGTTCAGTATTACACGTATTTCTTGCCTTTCCGATAGCTAGACATAATCCAGCCGAACTACTTCGAAGTATAGTATTGTACAGCTGTGCCTTTTTAGAAGCAGGTAAAAACAATCGATAAAACAGCCTTTAAAATTTCATACCGGTAGTGGATTAGTATTATTAGTGAGCATATAAAACGAGTCCTCCGATTTCTTCGTAAATTATATTGATACATTATAGCTAACTACGGTGTGAGGCTCGGGCGTGACGCAGCCTTCTTACTTCCTCCAGCAGTAGCAACAGCAGACGACTACGCTGATCAACGTGCCACCGTCGCCGACAGCTCCGCGTCAACTCCGCCTACGCTCCACATTCCTTCTATCCGATGTTCCTCTATTTTTATGCTCGCTACAATCGACCAAAAATGTTGAATAAGTGTAGAACTATATATAATACATGTAGGATCGATGAGGCTATTGGAGCACGATTGGGAAAGGGGCCTACCTACGATTCTGCCAGCTTCCACACAAGTCTCTCCAGAAGCCCAGATCCTGGAGACAGCATTAGCCCGCCATCCAGCGTTTACATCCTTTCATCTGTGTGACACCTACAAGAAAGCATGATAACTAAACGACAGGTTATAAGCCCAAACAGATATACGCCTCGCCCCCGCGGATCGGTAGTCCAGTCGGACGAAAGCAGTGACGATGATCAAGTTTCCGACCACTCGAAAGTCGGCTCGTACGCTGAAGACGGCGCCGGGAAGGTATCGGGCTCGGATCAGCCGTCGTCGCCTTCGTCATCCCGTAATGATGAGTCAAGTACAAGGTCGGAATCATTTGACACCAAGGGTTCTGGATCTGAGAACAGATCGTCGAGCTCCGGTACTGAGTGCAAGAAGAAACTGAAACACTCTAAGAAGAAGCGAAAGAGCCCCGAGAAGAAACGAAGCAAAGGCGTATCTCGCAGGTTCCGAAGCTTACTGGTGTCGATGACAACGAGTTGTGACAAACCATGATCGAACTGAGGCTAAAAGTGCAGAGCTTGTGGTTCTTAGTAACCAAGGAACCGCTCGGAAAACATCGTCGGACTCGCATCACCAGCGACGGTGGGGGGGGCACGGTGGTTGAGAGCTCAAGAGACGATTGCTGGATCCTTGGCCCCCGGATTTGCAGGTCGTTACAGGCGTCTGCTCGTGAATTGTAACGCATTCGTCCTCTTTCTTAGAAGATTCCGAAGGAGCGTAGTGCAGGAAGCGCACCCGAGAACGACATACTGATCAACTCGGCAATATTCACTCGCAAACTAGAGAGAGGGGCCGGGCTGACATCTATATTGCCGCGATCATGAAGCTACAAGAAGATCTGGTGACCCATGAGGTCACCAGATCCCCCCCCCCCTCGAGGACTCCGAGCTAGCCGGATTATTGCTCATGAATGCGCTTGATATGTTTCCGGGTCTGAGTAACAAGCTGGTGGCAGCCCGGTCAAAGTATTTAGCTCTGAACGTAGGGCAAGTTCGCGGTCGGTTACTGGCAAGAGAACAAGAAGGGTCCACAGTCAACACGATCGCCTTCTAAGTTCTCAGTCGTCGTTTAGTAGGACAGCACCCGGGTTCTCCAGGTCCTTGCTGGTTATAAGCGGCCAACAAGATCAAGTAGACGACCGACACTCTCAATCTCGTCAGCCATTGCGCCGGGACCGTCGGCAAACGGCGAAGGACGGTATGCAGAGAAGGCCATGCTCTAACTGTCATCAACTGGGTCACTGGTACCGAGAATGTCCGCACAACCGGCACCAGGGTAATCGCCCCTGCAATGTTGGTTAGAGTAAAGGCGGTACCAATCAAAATTGTAGGAGAGGCGGACGAATAGGTTATGGGCAGGGTGATCAAGGAAGGTCACGAAACGACCAATACAGCTCCACGGGACCGATGGCCTTGATGGCAGCACTGGACAAGCAGCACAGACAGGATTACTTAGCTAACACTGAGTGGTGCCTGGATAGTGGAGCTCATAATAATATGTGTGGCGGCATCTCCTGCTTTTAAAACGCGTTCGACAGCTGGTGGCGGACGCATAGTGAGCCGTGCTAATGACCGCTCGGTGAAAGTGAATCAAGGTGGCGATGGTATACTTGAAGTCATCATTGGGGAGACAGGATTCATGGAGCAACAAACTCTCTCTGAAGTATATCATGTGCCTGGTGCTATAGACTACCTGGTTTCGCTAGACTTCATGCAGCTGAAACTAGGAGGACGGAATTTATCGCAACACAGCGAAGTTGTGTGCAATGCCATCGTCCAGTCTCCCAAGATATGTTTTCTATCCGTTTGGCACAAACGGTTCACTAAAACTAGCAAGAACATCATTCTGGAAATGGTGAAGCAGCAGGCAGTAAAGGGGGTGCAAGTAACCAAGACGCCAGCACTGGATGCAACGTGTATTCCATGCGTGAAGCGTAAAAGCGTTCGTATGTCCTACAAGGAGCGACGCCGTCACGCAGCACAGCCTCTCAACGGCTTTAACCCCCCCCCGCACTTATAGGTTGTATTTGACGACATGTGACCAAAAGGTGCGCCAGGTCCTGTTTTTCCACATGTTGTATATACAACATGTTAAAGACAGTGAAATGCACAGGGTTAGGCTGAAAAATGCACAGAACACGCACACAAAACTCCTCCAATTTGTCACAAAGGTTGCTGACTCTCGCCTCGTGTAATCCACTGATTTCTCACATTCGAGAAAAAGCAACGGGGACCAGAGATGGTTGGCCAACGCAAAACGCGTCGCGAGTCAGAAGGCTTACTCGCCCGCCTGGAAGGCAAAAGCTCGGAGGATCGGGTGCGCTTGACTGCCCAACACACAGCATACCTGAACGGAGAGAGGGAGACGGATGCTGACTTCGGGAACGAGGCCGCGGGGGGCAACGCAGACGACTACGGTGGCCGCGACGAAGGTAAGGCAGACGACGACGGCTATGACTCGTGGGCATCCATTCCGGCGCTTCCGAGCCGACCACCTATTGGAAAGACGGCGTCGTACATTACAGCGGCAAAGAAGCTGCGGGCAGCTCGTCTCGCAGCTAAGGCCAAAGCGGAGAAAAAAAAACTGGAAAGGGGA